ACGGCTTGGAGGAGAATACTTACTACTGGTGATGCCTCTCTTCATACGTCTTCAAGTTATCCACCTCCTACCTTAACCTAAATCAATGTGAATACTCTCTCAAAAGGTCACATGACCTGGACTGACCAATAAATTCGCCAGATATCACTCTAAGATACACCTTGTGTACATATGACTTCTGTAAAAANTACATCTGACTTCTGTAAAAAACTAAAAAATTCGAAGTATATTTTCAATCTCCGAATACCGGTTTACCAGGTTGTCCCTAATTTCCTCACACAAAAGCACGTAGGATGACACGTTTCTCTTGTCCGGACTCTGGATTCTCCCTGCAATCATGTGCGCAATCTGCCAGAAACACTGATACACAACGCATTTCGACACTGCTCCCACCCTGTTATCCATGCTATCGCTGCGTAGACCTGCGTAGCTGGATATGCTGAGACGAGTATTATTTTGCGGCATCGAGCTGATGCATCTCTAATAAACGGGCGTCTGTTGATAGGTGCATGTGTACGGTCTGTTCGGCAAGTTTTCTGCAAGACTCCCGACTGAATTGGGGCCAGCTCACCCTTTTTTTTGTGTCCACTTCAACCGACAAATCACTGATGCTATGAATAGGCCGAGGTACTCAGGTGCTCTTTCTCAACGAGCTAGAAGCTCAGTCATCGCTGCATTCACCGGTGACCTAAATGCTTAGATAGGTAAAGTCAGTAGTGCTGAAGTCCGGATCGGCGGGCCTTTTTAGGCGGGGACGAAACGCACCCTCTTCATATATGTAGCGATCACATGGAATTTTTTTACCATTACGATTTCCGGAACAGCGGAAATCGCCTATCAACGTGGTGCCAGCCGACGCACCACCGTCGGAAACAAATAAGCCACACCAGAGTCCGTTATCGGAAGCAAGGTTTACTGCTCTTAGAGAAACACCAACTTAGACTCCGACGTGCGCGTATATACTGCTTAGTTTGTTTGCGCTTTCCAGGTATATGATATCAGGGCACACATCACTCAGTCGCTGAAATGCTAGTGGATCCAGGAATCAAAAGAAATTAATTGAACTGTCAATGCATCAAATGCTTGCCTGGTCGGTTATGAAAAACCACATGGTGCACTTATCCAGAGAACTACTCAAAGCGGAAACTTCTGTTTGCGGTACAACTCCAGCAACCTCACTTAAACGTTGGTTCTCTGATACGAGCGTGTCTTCGATGAAGACGGGGTGAAAGATCCAATCTGAGTGCAACAAAAACGCCATCCAAAGCATCAGCCTGCACCTGACAAAACTAAGAAGCTTGGTGAACCCGAACTGNCACCTTGTGTACATCTGACTTCTGTAAAAAACTAAAAATTTCGAAGTATATTTTCAATCTCCGAATACCGGTTTACTAGGTTGTCCCTAATTTCCCCACATAAAAGCACGTAGGATGACACGTTTCTCTTGTCCGGACTCTGGATTCTTCCTGCAGTCATGTGTGCAATCTGCCAGAAACACTGATACACAACGCATTTCGACACTGCTCCCACCCTATTATCCATGCTATCTCTGCGTAGACCTGCGTAGCTGGATATGCTGAGAAGAGTAATATTTTGCGGCATCGAGCTGATGCATCTCTAATAAATGGGCATCCGTTGATAGGTGCGTGTGTACGGTCTGTTTGGTAAGTTTTCTGCAAGACTCCCGACTGAATTGGGGACAGCTCACCCTTTTTTGTGTCCCCTCCAGCCAAAAAATCACTGTTGCTATGAATAGGCCGAGGTATTCAGGTGCTCTTCCTCAACGAGCCAGAAGCTCAGTCAAGCATTCATCGGCCCTTTTTTGTGTCCCCTCCAGCCAAAAAATCACTGTTGCTATGAATAGGCCGAGGTATTCAGGTGCTCTTCCTCAACGAGCCAGAAGCTCAGTCAACGCTGCATTCATCGGTGACCTAAATGCTTAGATAGGTAAAGTTAGTGGTGCTGAAGTCCGAATTGGCGGTCTTTTCCAGGTGGGTACGAAATACACGGAATACGGAGAGCACCTCTTCACATATGTAGCGATCACATGAAATTTGTTTACCGGTACAATTTCCGGGACAGCGGAATTCGCCTATCAAAATGGTGCCAACCGACGCACAAGCCTCGGAAACAAATAAGCCTCACTAGCGTCAGTTATCGGAAGCAAGGTTTACTTCTCCTAGAGAAACACCAACTCAGACTCCGACGTGCACGTGTATGCTGCTTATTTTGTTTGCGCTTTCCAGGTATATGATATCAGGGCACACATCACTCAGCCGCTGAAATGCTAGTGGATCCAGGAATCAAAAGAAATTATTTGAACTGTCAACTCATCGGATGCTTGCCTGGTCAGTTATGAAAAACCACATAGAGCATTTATCCAGAGAACTACCCAAAGCCGAAACTTCTGTTTGCGGTACAACTCGAGCAACCTCACCTAAACGTTTGTTCTCTAATATGAGCGTGTCTTTGATGAAGCCCGGGTGAAAGATCCAACCTGAGTGCAACAAAAACTCCATCCAAAGCATCAGCCGGCACCTGACAAAACTAAGAAGCTTGGTGAACCCGAACTGTCAAAATCGGCCGCTTATTAGCGCAGTTATCGGGGACTGAAATGGCTTCATGATACTCAGAAGAGCAAAACGTTTGAACCGCTTGGTATAGTGCTCCAGGTACTTACAGTCAGATATGGTGGCCTTTAACATGAAAGTGCAATTTAAATATGGAGCAGTCTACAGCCTCAGAAGCGTGTGCATTTTACTCAAGCGTAATTGCGCTTTTGGCCCTGATGACCTTATATCTACTCTATGAGTGGATGGCTTCGGGTTTATCATCCAGTGCCTGTCTAGTCAGGTTGCGTCTGTCTAGGAGAGAGGCCGTTCCAGATGGCTAATGTCGGTTGATGACAGTACTCATTACTAAAACGGGTGCCCACAGCGAATGTGTTAAGCACGAAGGTGTTAAATGCTTAACATGATGAAGAACGAAGCGCATTCGTAAGAAATCCGCACGGCAAAAGTCTCCAATCCACTTTTCTGGTTCGGAATTTCTGGCTCAGTAGTATATATAATCAACCATCGACGCAAAGCGGCCACTATTCACTAATGGAGCGTCAATTAGCAATTGTTTGACGTAGTGGCTGTCGTTGATAATGACCCAGTTCCGTGAGGGATGGTATTTGGACAGCGCGGTTTCTGGTGGGTTTGACGACATGCTGAGTTCCAGTGCTCTGTTGAACAAATTTGATCAGCGACGCTGAAAAATGTCCACTGGACCCGACGCGCTCGAGCCCTAACGAGGAGGCGTTGGGCGCGTTAAGACCAACTACCTTCAGGTGTGCTAAATGATCGCTGAGGAGGAGTTGCTCAAGCTTTTGTATGTGGATCGGTCATCATTCGAAGGATTCGAGAAGCGACGGTAGACCAGCCTGAGCGGAAGAGCGTCGGTCCCGCGCAACTTGATCCGGATCCACAATGCATTGCAAAACGGTGCACGAGTGGTATCTGAGAGGGAAACCTGGGGGGCATGGTCGCATGTGAATATAGAGCAACCACACCAGTCCTGCCGGATTTTGGGTCAGCTCGAAAAATAGCAGCCTTCCACAAAAATGTTTGCGTAAGTGACATCTGATGTGAGCCAGGTTTCTGTCAGTGAGACTACTGACGGATGGTCAAGGCAAGCTGAGTGATTAATATCGTAATGTTTGTTGAAACAACTGAGAATGTTTTGGAAAAGGATTTCAACACTATCACTCTGTCTTTGTAGGTGGGTTGCTGAGTGGCTTGCTGCCACAGCGGTTAGCAAACTTGACGGCTGCTCCGCGGGTTTAAGACCAAGGCACCGTAGCAAACTCTGTGTTATACATCGCTGCTTCCTGTGTAGGTGGTGTTGAGGGCTCCTTTTCATCTGTAGGGGCATTTTCTCCCCTTGTGGGACGTGATTGTTCCAGTTATGTTTGCAAATTTAGGCCACCACTACCTGAAGCTCGTCCACTGTCAATTTTTTTGAGCGAGCAATGTCGCTGTTGTTCAAGACCCTAAAGGGCAAACATCCATTTGCTTGGTTTCTTGGAATCTATAGCGCGGTTTGAACGATGAGTTGTCTAAACGTGTCCCTGTGCGTTGGGTGGCAGCACACAAAATTGACGACGCTCCTGTGAGGCTAACGTTTGCACAGAACTGTACCTTGAGGCTGACCATTAGCCCCCTGATTTGGGGAAGTTTTTGTGGTTTTCTTGACTGCAGTGTTTTTGTGCACTCCCAAATCGCCCGCGATCACGTGGGCCAGCTGGGTACACGAAAAGTTACCGGTTCGTTACTGTCGGGCTTGCGGCTTTGGTTGTCCGGGTCATAGTTAGTAACCGTGCCCAAAATTGGAAAAACTGGCTGTCATCGTAGCATCATCATAGGCCAGCTGCGGACACCCTCCCTCATCCACTGTATTCTATTCTTTTCACTCGAAGGCGTTAAATATGATTTAACAAATTCTGTGATTGCTCGTTACTGAAACATGTCCCAGCAGTGGTGTTGCTATCCCCGATGGTGGCGGTGATGATGATATCCGTGTCGTGATAGGGCGGCCATTCTTGTTCAGGGGCTATATCGCCAGACTTCCAGATACAGCATTTGTGGCAAAGAAACTCATGGTTAAACGGTTCTGATGAGGAATTCTCCGCGGAACTAGAGTTAAGCCATTCAGATGATTATCTGTTTGTTCCGCAGCTTTCACGCAACCCGAGAAGGGGCTAAAAGCTGCAAGGTTTACCGAACCTCGACGGGCAATTTGGAAAACTAGAGGTGATACAGTATGTCAGCTTAATCACTAACACACTTTGCAATGAACTGCTTCCACTCGTTCATCGTTCTACTAAATGATCAAATGACAACTAGCGTTCCTCCAAACTAGGACCATGTGTACTAGTTAGTAAAATGAGCCGTTTGATGACGAGAGTACCTTGTAGATTGACATTCGAACGGATACCACATACTAGCGACTCACCGGTACTTCGTTTCATCTACTTTGCCATAAGCTGTCACAGTAATTTTCATCATAAAATTGTACGCGACTGGCAAGTAAATCATGCCGAGGCGTGTGATACTTGAAGCACGTTGAGGTTCAATGGGAATAGCAGCCACTCTAACCTTGTTGGCGGTTTTACTTCCACGCTCACCCCGAGGGTTACATTGTCCGGACATCCGTACAGCATGGCGCTAAAATCCCATGGAGACAAAAGATGCGCAGGCAGTCTCTGCAGGTCTCTGAACGGCGGGTATCTCGTAATGATGTGAACCGGTAAAAATTTGTAATGAGCCCTGAAATAGCAATGCGGAGACTGCTATTTGTTTCCTCCAGGCTAACATTATGTTATGTAAATGGAGTGCATCGAATAGGTTTTTATTCCACAACTAGAGTTTAGGTTTCACTGAATGCGAAGGCATTCGGCCACATCGCATTTGTTCAGTTCGTTTGATCTTAACAGGATCCTCATATTTCATCTTGAAACTTGCGAATCACCAGATAGGTGTTTACTTAACGTGCTTCTCAGATAAGCACGTTATTGCGCTTTGTATTAGACCAGCTTTGCGCATGCTATTTTCCTTTGCGTTCCCACTACTTAGGTAAAATGAAGTAGGCACAAATGATTCAGAACGTAAGGCAAACCGCCAGCTCGCATTTATTTCTAGTGGTTTTTGAACGAAAATGACAAAACGGTAAGTTGGTTTAGGCCACTCTAACATCACAGGACGAGAACGTCTGTTGTGGAGTTATAAAACATTTTTATCCGGTCTATTGTATACTAAAATCGGTCAATTTATTTGACGGAAATGAAAGCTTTATCATGGAGAGCGGCAATCAATATTTCAAACAATCTGGTGGATTCATCTACTCGCAGAGCAAGGTCCCTTGTTTGCAAAAATTTAAAGGATAGTGGCTTGTCATCGCCGCCTCACAGAACAGTAAAGTTTGGATTTATATTTGTGGGGAAAAAATAGATGGTGTTTAGTGATTAAACTTATGGCCCTCATCTTGAAGATGCCTTGCAGCCAACGAGGATGATTTCCAGGCTTGGTTGTGGAATCCGGCTGCCTGTTAACCAACACACTTCAATAAAGGGACTACGCGTTCTGATGGGATCCCACACAAATTGCGGTCTGTCATGTAAACGTAAGTTTTGTCACAACTTCAGGTGAATTCATACGCGACACGAAATAGTTGCGGTTATGCAAGCCGCCACTCAAATCGATCCGTATCGTTGGGGGAAGCCAGAAAATAAGGGACAAAATCTGAGACCTGTATTCATTAGATTTCCGACAATTTACATCATGACTAAACGGTTCTGATGAGGAATTCTCCGCGGAACTAGAGTTAAGCCATTCAGATGATTATCTGTTCGTTCCGCAGCTTTCACGCAACCCGAGAATGGGCTAAAAACTGCAAGGTTTACCGAACCTCGACGGGCAATTTGGAAAACTAGAGGTGATACAGTATGTCAGCTTAATCACCAACACACTTTGCAATGAACTGCTTCCACTCGTTCATCGTTCTACTAAATGATCAAATGACAACTAGAGCTCTACAGATTAACTGGCGGTACTCTGGGATAGCTGTAGCGAGAAACCGCCTTTGCGCACGTCAGAAATTCGTACCCCACCCTTACCCAGGTCAAGATAAATTGTTCTGCGTACATGATGAAATCCTCAGGAATAGACGCCTGGCATATTTTACTAACCACTGGAAGTGTGCACTGGACAAAGACCGTTAATCATTGCTCCTAAGATTAGTAGGCTTGCTTCTCTAAAGTCACCCATTTGGATCAATATACAAATCAAATCACTAATTCTTAATGAAGATGGGTGTAAGCTACCATGTCGACGACTACCATGCTGACGGCTGCCTCAAACAATGTGTGCTGCCCATTCTAACGGCTGTGCGCTCTAACTACCATGCTGACGGCTGCCTCAAACAATATGTGCTGCCCATTTTAACGGCTATGCGCTCTAAACACCGGAAGACCGACTCAGTTGTTTGAATTCAAGTGCTGTATTTTAACCGCAAAATATCCCGTATTGATTTTTGAACGCGTATACACAGTGATGATTTATTCTATTCACACATATGATTAGATAATAAAAAAATTAAAGCTTTCGGAGAAATATGACTGCTGGCTTAGGACAAGCCAATTTACTGAACCCCGGGTCCTGGCAATTCATGATTCTGGGGTAGACCAAAACAATCACGCTCATTGAATCTGTTGGTTCCTGGTTCGCGTGCTGCTTCCAACGCTACATTGTGGTTATTTCGGCTGATTAGCTGACCCACTCGCTAATTACATCGTACGTGGAAGAATACAAGGTAATATATTCACAGTCGAGGAACCAAACGATGGATGGCACTCTCTTCCACAATTCATACTTGCTAGACTAGAACGTTCAAGATTGCTGTCGACCCAACGAAGTGGTCTGAAAGCGATTACCAACTTCATAGACGGTGACTAATCATTGGGAGAAAAGCAGAAACACTGCGATATCTTGAAAATATGTTGTCTACTAATTTTTCACATCCATTTCACAAGAGCCTGAATTGTCGATTATCGTCGAATAATGTCACTTAACGCAGTGACACAGGAGTTCACTGATTAGTGAATAAAACACAGGATTGGGGCTTTACTTAAACCTATCGGGTCGAGTGTGACCTTGTCGTTTATTGGTTTCTGTTTGTCTGGAAGACACAAGCAAAAAAAGGGTAATGGATAGATCCTAAAGATATGAGCGCGCGGCAGCATACGGACTCAGCTAAAAGGTGTCTAAACTGCTTAGATCCAAACATCAGATGCAATATGAACAACTAGTCGAGGAAAGGTATTCCGCACTTTTTCGAAATGAGAAAATTTTTTGCCTAATAAAACGTGCACTGCGTGCTTGAAAATCTTTTTACCATGTCCTGGCAGTGCAATAATTCAGTCGGCGGTGAGAATCTGGTTAAGCAACCCTACTTTAAACAGTGTGAAAGCAAGGATTAAATTTCCTTTTTGGTGACGATGTTCCAGAGGCGATAGGCCGATCATCGCGAGATGCGTTGAATATTGAACGGATTTAGGTTGGCAACCATTTTTGTAGCACATTTCTGGACACGCACAACGAGGGTTACATTCTTCTCGTGTCACGAATAAACAACCTGTTCACATATTCAAGAAGCTGGCTGACCTAGGCCTCACAAAGTATCTAGAATTCTATGCAGATAATACGAAGGAAGGATAGTCAAATCATCTGTTGAACTTCGAATGCATTTTGAGCCGCTTTCGTTGTACAGTCAAATCATCTGTTGAACTTCGAATGCATTTTGAGCCAACTTTTCGTTGTGCAGTGAAAAGTAAATGTTTTTGAACAGCCAGTTATCTAAGTTCTTTTTGTATCTATCCTAGGAATATCTTTAAACCATTATCGTCATTCACAAAACAGGCGTTCACTGGGCCTTCTGCTGATGATGTATAAGGTCTTGTCCTTCTGAGGATGGCGCCAATCCTACGGCCACCGCTTTGCAGCGTCTACATCTATTTATGTGCGCTTGCACTTAAAAGCCAGGATTTCTAATCCTCCGCAAGTAGCCCCTATAAAAGCAATCACCACCAAGACACGGATGCCTCCAGTTAGTCTGCGTTGAAGTTTTTTGGCGGGCTGCTTCCGTTCAGCTTGCTCCATCGGACCCACTCCAGCTGTCGAAAAGTATGACAGCTAATTATGGCAGCTAATTAAAATTAGATTCTCAAAAACATCTGACTGTATGTGCAGCAAACTGAAATCGCAAATGCGTTGTAACACTGCCAGCAAGATTACGCACAAAGTCTCCGGTTGAATCATAAACTATCAGTTTGTGGTGTTTGCCAATTAATTCTGCTAAAATTCCACACCATGTTGGTGGAAATAGTGTGACGGGCGGTTGGGTGGCTAGCTCCCTCTATCCTGGATGTGTTCATATGAAGTGCAAGGCCGTCCACATTGTTCACCCGTCTGGCCGACTATACCGTAGATTTTGCAAGGAAGCGCATAGATTTCGCCTCGAGTTTTCTCCAGTTCGCTCATTACTGATGTAACGTTCGGGCGGCACCAAACGTCCGCAATTGTTGTTTTGCTATGAACCTTCGATGGTACTGCATATCCATGCATCCACTCAACATTCGACGTTTATCAAGCTAGTTTTCACTAGGCTGCCTACATAGGTGATTCCGTCAATCTCTAGACACCTAAACTCTTTGGTCAATGACATTAATATACTCCTTTCAGTTACAAGAAATTATAAGAAAGTGTCATAGTTTTTCATTTCTGAAGCGATCAGGTTGCTGGTGACGCGTTACTAGGAATTTAGCAATAACTTTAGCGCCGACATTCCATTATTTCGATGCATCGATTTTACAAGCAAAACAATCTGCTCTTGTGTTTTGATCACGTGAAGCTCTCATACTTCAATACATCCGTGTATGAGGTGGAACAGCTCTACTTTGGATCATGCGCACTACAAACAGGCAATACTCAAGATGCTGTTCTGGAAGCTCATTTCACCTGCCATACAGAAGAAGATCAAGAGCATTTATTCCGCTAGAAGAAATGACGCAAGAACCAAGTTGAAAAAGGATAAATCCTGGTAATTTCACTGGAAGATTTGAAGATGAGCAGGAACAAGCAGCGGTACACCCCTAAAACGTGAGCTCTTCTGAATAAAAACAACTAGATATTACCACTTCGAACGCGAAAAAAAAACAAAAAAAACTACCAAACAAAACCAATGAGACTATTAAAAAATTGGAGTACCAAGGTTCGTGATTCGGTTAGTCTGCTTCTGTGGACTCCCTATGGAACTGAAAGGAAAAAAATATCCATGGGAAGTGATAGTATCAGTTCCCAAAAACACCGATCTGAAATCTCTCGATTCTGTCAAGTTTTCTGTGGGTAAATTGTCGCAAAATTGAGTCAGAAAAATTGGACATTTCAGAAAGTGTATACCTGGCGGTTACTCAACCCTAAACGATGGCACATCTATAGTCCAAACGAGAACACAATTCATACCTGGAAGGGATATCACTGGAATTACTGGTTTCACGAGCGATCGAAGAAGTCACGATTAAACAGTTGAAGTTATTTTCCTTGTCGCAGACTAATCCCTAAACATAGATCCGTGATGCCTATGAGACGGGCAGGTAAGCCACCGGATTCAC